TCCCAGAATTCTGGGAGTTGAAGTCTACTCATCTTAAAGTGGCCAAGTTTGGACAACACTGACATAGATAATTTTCTCCATGACAATCTATTCCTAACCTGTTCTTTCAGGTCTTCCAGTGGTACACTCATTGCCACTGTAAATGAGTCCATCCACCTTGCTGCTGGTTGTCCTCTTCTTCTCTTTCCTTCTATCTTTCCCAGAATTAGATCCTTTTCCAGAGAGTTAGATCTTCACATAATGTGTCCGAAGTAGAATAATTTTAGCCTGGCCATTTGTGCCTCGAGTGAGAAATCTTTGTTGATCTGTTTGAAAATCCAGCTTTCTTGGCTGTCCATGGTATTCTTAGGAGTCCTCTCCAACACCAAAGTTCGAAGGCATTGATACTCTTCCTATCCTGCTTCTTCAAAGTCCAACTTTTGCTTCCATAGAGTGTCACAGGGATACCATGGCTTGCACAATTCTGATATTTGTAGGTACAGATACATCACGGCATTTGAATATATTTTCCAAGGCCTTCATAGCTGCTCTATCAAGTGCTAGTCTGCGGCATATTTCTTGACTGCTTGTTTCTTTACTGTTGATGGTTGATCCTAAAAGGCAGAAGCTCTCCACCACTTTGATATCTTAATTGCCAATTCTAAGGCTGGTTGTTCTACCTGCTGTCATTAGTTTGGTCTTCTTTATATTTAATTTTAGTCCCATTTTTTTATTGTGCTCTTTGACTTTTAGTACTAGGGCGTGCAGATCCCTTGCATTTTCAGCTATCAGGGTCTTGTTAGCATATGCAGATTACTGATGTTTCTTCCTCCAGTTTTAAAACTACACTCATTTTCCACTAATCCAACTTCCATTAATATACAGTATATGCAGTGTATAGGTTGAATAAATAAGGACAGCGTATACAGTCTTGTCACACTCCTTTGTTCACCATGTTCTGTCTGTACTGTGGCTTCCTGATCTGTATATGGGTTTCTCGTGAAAACAATGAGATGTTCTGGAATTCCCTTTTTTCTGAGCACTTTCTACAGCTTGATGTGATCAGCACAATCATAGGCCTTTTTATAATAGATGAAGCACAAGGTTACTTCTTTTTGGTATTCTTTGGCTTTCTCAATTATCCAGCATGAATTAGCAATAATGTCTCATGTTCGGCCTTTTCTAAGCTTGAACATCTGGCATATCTTTTTCC